CATAAAAAAATCAGAAAGAACATGATCAATTACAGTGCTAGATACCTCAAACGTGGTTCTTCTTTTTCTTTTTCTTTTTTTAACTTGGTTTTTTTTATAAAAATAAAAATTAATAAATTAATATTATTAAATATTAATAATTAAAAATCTGATAAATAAACCATCTATCTTAATGGGATGGGACGCGCGATCGTCGGATCGCTTAGTGAAATTCTTTAACTTGGGTTTTTTTTTCTTTTCTAACGTCTTGGACCTTTAGTTTGGCATTTTTCCTTCTGAGTTCGTACTCAAAAAACTATTCTCAAAAGGTACTTGCAATCGTAGATGGTGTGACAATGTACAGTGAGACCTTGGTTTTTACCAAGATTCAAACTCTTATAGAGACATTTTTCACTCCACTCAATTTTTTCAAAAGAAATAAAAAAAAAATCTATTCTCAAAAGAAATCGCTTCAAAATGCTCTCTCATCCCATCACTTCAGAGGGTATTGATACTTTCCCTTCAATACACTTTCCAAACCGCCACTTTTTCAGACAGACACTACAAAATCACTTTGCACTGCAACTAATTAATACTACTAATTAGAGCCCTAGCTAGGTCTGGGCTCTATCTAGTCCATAGCCATCTTCCCAGGCAGTGGTGTCTCAGCTGATGGTGCTAAGCACAGCCTGAGACTCAGTTCCTTGATTGATCAGAACCACTCAAGACAGTGAGAGTTTCCGACACTGACTCAACATAAAACAAATCAAAACTTACATTTAATATCGCTACTCACAGATCCCAAAGAGATTGAGTTGACATGAAGTGAAATATAGTATTGAAAGTGCAATATTGCCTGTATATGTATCTATCTTGATGTAATATATACCATGTATATTTTCTGGAGCAGCCTGATGTAATATCTATTACTATCATAGATCTGTGTTGGATCCACGTAGAAGGGTACTGAGACAAGCATTTTAAGATGAGCATCCGTTGCTTTCACTTTAACGTAAAATTTGTGGACTTTTATTGCTGCCATAAAGAGCACCAATCCAACTTTCGGCTTAAATTTGTTAAGACATGCATATGCATCTCAACTAATAATTAAGAAGTTGAAATTTTAAATTTAAGATTTTAAACTCAAACCTTAATTAAAATGAGTGAAAAAAAATTTGAAAGTAAAAGAGAATTATATATATATAAAATTTTTTTTTAGGTATACCAAAAATTTTGTTAAGAGCATCTAACTAACAAATACATGCTCAACAAATATGTGCGTAGCACACCTTCATCAGCACATTCAAAACATTAACCCTTTATTGTTCATCGACGATTATTTGTGTACCAAGATAGATTGTGAAATGAAAACGAGAAGAACATAAACACTTTCCTTTTAATTTTTCTCAAAAAGACAATTTTGAAGTTTTACATGTTAGGTGTGATCATATTCTAATGCCAATGCATCCGATTTTAATAGAACTTTCTAATTAAGCTTGTACTTGAGGGAAAGCAGTACTAAAATGGATGATCTGTTCATCACGACCCAATAAAAAAACATTAATTTAACAAACAAATACCTAAATAATCCGTTTGGGGATAAATTTTTCTTCATGTTTCTCCTTTCTTTTCATGGGTCCGTCTAGGGCAAGCTGCTGTATTGATGCAAATCGGTGGTCCACACCGGAACTCCGTTCCAGTTGCCGGTGTTGTCGTTGCCATTGCCACCACTGTTGGTCGGAGTGGGAGTAGTTACCGGTGCAGCATAAGAATTTCCAAAAAACCATTCCGTTGCAGCAGTGCTTTCACCTCCTTTTCTTGAATTCCCAACTTCCGGTTTTGAACCCTCCAGGTTCTGAAACAAAATGGGTTGTGGATGCGGCTTCTCTAGAGCTGGGACTGAAGAAACACCGCCGTCTTGTTTGTTGTCGCCGGTTCCGAGGAGCATGGCCAATCTCTGTTGCTGCAACTTCCAGTGCAAATCTTGGTTTATAGAACTTAAGGATTCAATTGAAGATGCAAGACTACTATTAACATTCATTGACCCCATCTCCGGAATTGCACCGCTGTACCCACTGGAGCTGGACGGAGCATAATTAAACCCCAACAAGTGACCGGAGCTTCCAGACGCGTCGAGACCAAAACAAGAAGGGGATGAGCTCGCAGTATCTGATCCAAATGAAGAGAACTGATTGTAAATTCCGGTGGGAGGTGGAGTGAGCCTAGGGAAAGATAACCCACCAAGCTGAAAATCCATGGCAGGAGCGAGGCCGTGGAAGAACTTTAATCCACCGAGCTCAGAGGAGGAGGAGGAGTCTTTGGAATCACTGGAAAGTCTCGAGGATGGTTTTACCTTCTTGTTTTTCCGACAGCCCCCACCGATGGGAACGTTACGCAAGGCACCGCCTTTTGTCCAGTACCTTCTACAGGTTTTGCAGAAATGTCTAGGCTGCGTGAGGCTGTAGTTGTTGTAGTAGCAGAATTTGGTATTCGGGGAGTCGCATCTGGGACACTTTGGGGCTTGCTCCTGTGGCTTTGTGGAGGAGGTTTTCCTGCTAATACCGGTGGTTTGGTTGTCCTCTTTCACCGCTGGCTTGGCCGGAAGATTATCCATGGAAGAAAATGAAAATAAAAAGACTTGATAGAGTTTGTGGGTTTCTTAGTTTGAGTTTCCTTATGGAGAGGCAAATAAGATTGTCAATTGAATGGTTTCATGCATAGATAGGGGAGATGGGTGCTTGTGATATTCATCAAAGAGGGGGGGGGGGGGGGGGGGGGGTTTGGAATGAGGGAAAATTTGTATATATAAGATGGATGGGGATAGAGAGGTAGAATCTGGTGGAAAGGAGATGGAAGAAATTAAATTATAAAGGTGGGAGAGAAAGGGAAAAAGAAAGAGGAGATGTCACTAGAAAGGGAGATGGTGTGCATATATACATGTAGAAGGAGGGGGGAGGGAGGGAGTATAGAGACAAAGAAAGAGTAGATGATCTGAAACTGATCTTAAAGAATAGAGAGATGAACAGCTACGATGAAACAATATGATAGGGACTGTTCTTTGTGGTTTCATCGTGGGAAATGTGATCAGAAATATCAGTTTATCAAACTTATATTTTTAGTCAAATGATAAAGGCCATGTTTGGAGCAGATGTTTGGTAACAGCTGATGATAACTGTGTTTCTCTAATTTTACAAATAAGGGTTTTCTTATCTATTATCTAATGTTCTCTATAATTAAAAGGTTGGATCCACGAGAATTAAGTGTTATTTTTATAAATTGGGATTAGATCTAGAATTCAAGTCTTTGGTTTAGTATTTATAAAAATTAATTTTTTTTCAAAGTATTAGACTAATGTAAAAGTTGTATAGTATAAAATTGATCAAAAAAATTTAAACTCAAAATATATAAAATTTATTTAAAAACACACTAACAATAAATAAAAAAATCAAATGTTTTTTGTTCACCAAACCAAAAGGAAGCCAATATAGGTGCAAACATTTGGAGGTTTATTTCAAATAATAACAACACAACAAAAAGTAAAAACAATTTTTGTGACAATTAGAGCCTGAAAAGATGTCTCAATTGATAATAACTTAAAAGACTATAAAAAGTCTAATGTTGGAACGTTGAGTACTATTAAAATATTAAACAGACTTCTTAGTCTTGGAGTAGTAGCAGAGTAAAAAATTCACATTAGAATGACAAATTTAAAGTCACAAAATGGTATATCAAACTGTAAATTTTCAGTACAAACTGACTGCTAATAATATTTGAAATGCATGCATGGATGATGATGGGTGTATATATGTAAGGTGATGGTCCATACAATGGAGACTATAGTTGAAAACCAGAATTTGTTCTGGATGGAATGTAAGATTAAGAAGTGAAGGCAGAAAGCAGAAAGCAGAAAACAGAAAACAGGAGTGGTGGTAGTGATAGCAGCAGCGAGCAGTGCAGTCTAGTTCACTAGGCTGCTAAAGCCTGACGGAGGTTGCTGCTTGAGTCAGTCGGTGGGGCTTTTGCCTCTGCCATACACTGTGGCACCTGTCTACTCCTCTCCATGTAATGTCCCTTTTATCCCTTCCTCACTTTAACATTGCCCCCACACCCACAGACCACCTTTTACACGCTTGCTGCTCCCCTAGCTATTCTCTTTTAACCCACCAAAGCACAGTAAAATTGTATTATGATAAAACTGGCATCACTGCCTATCAATTGTTTAGGTCAAATTTCACATCATCATCAAAATTTTAAGTTATTAATAGTGATACATTTTGAAATTTATGTATCATTCACAATCATATTTTCTTTCAATGAAAGACTTCAAGCAAAACATATCTGATGATGTGAGATGTGAGAATACAATTTTTTGAAAGATCATCTCACTAAACCTTAATCCTTCTATTAAATTAACCAATCACAGAGGATACCACCGTTGGGACTCTCGGATCTTAAGGGAGCGTCATCCACTTTTCGTAATGTTCAGCTCATACCATACATCTCATTATCTATCTGAGAGTGGAGAAGTCATTTTGCCTTTTTTGCTTTTACGCTTTATGAGTCAAAGATTCAGACTACAAGCAGTCCAGCACATGTCCTCGACTCCCTTAAAACTGCAAACCTCTAATCAACTGCGATTTTAAACATTGAAGCTTCATCTGCATTAATAATTTTCACCGTTCTAACGTATATATAATTACGGACAAAATGAATTTACTGAGTAAGGCAAGAGACCAGAGTAATACACATCTATCAACAACTATAGTGCACGAGCAAATTTTGTAGTCCAATCTACATCGAACCATAAAACTTTAACCAATAGATGGGTAAGACCCGTATCGTGCGAGTTCAACGACCATGATTGTCGTTAAACTGGTAAAAACTTCATTCTCATTATATAATACATTTTTTTTTCGCATATATAGATTGAATAAATACATGAATATGATAATGGAAGAGAGTATATATGTGGAGTGGAACACGTGAGGGGTGGGTGGATTCCCGTGAGGCAGAACCAAAATGGCGAAGCTTATGCATAACAGTGCAAGGCCATTGTTTTCGCCACTTATCCTGGGTTACCTCTCACGGGTAGGGTGAGGGCCCTCCCCCCACCATCACATCTAACCACAAACATCTCAACTTCTCTCTTCCCTTTGCTTGCCAAGACTTCCATCATATATTTTTAGATTTTCTCTTATCACTACTAAAAAACACAAGTTAAACGATAAAAATATAATTGATAGTAAAAAAATTATCAATTATACTTTATTAATTAACAAGAACTTTGTCGATTATGAAACAATTGTCAATTATAACATTATAATTGATAGAAATGGTTGTCAATTATACCTTTATAATTGATAGCTACTTTAGCGGTCGATTATACTGTTATAATCGATAATTTTTTTGTCGATTATACAAACATATATGTTAATATATACATATATATTAATATTTAATCTTCTACTAGTAGCATGTATAGTTATTACATTTTTTATAAATTATAAATTTGACAATAAAAATTTAATATTATCAAATATAAGATTGTTTTTTATTAATATTATATATATTTTATGTATATATAATAACAAAATTAACTATAAATATATAATGTTAGAATTGATAATTTAATCAAAGTAAATTTATGTATAATATTAGTTAAAAATAATCTAACATTTGATAATATTAAATTTTTATTACTAAATTTATTATTTACGAGATATATAATATTTGTAAATGTTACTGGTAGAATATTAAATACTAACATATATATTTATAAAATTTTTATACTCATATTCGCCAGCCATTAGTTGTCGATTATGTATATTTGACAGCCA